TTTAGCTTTTTATTGACAAATGGAGAACACAGCAAAAGACAAAACGAAAAATGCCTTTGAAGATGGCTTAGAAAATTGATCTGTAAATGGTGGAACCAAAACAGAACGATAATATAAAACAGCAGAGTGAAAGACCAAACATGAGAGAGGGGGGGGGGGTAGTGAAAAAAAGAGATAAAGAAAGGGGAGTGAGAGAGAGAGAGAGAGAGAGAGAGAGAGAGAGAGAGAGAGAGAGAGAATGAAAGAAAAAAACGAGTGAAATCCAGAAAGTATAAAGGAAAGGAGCAGGTTGAATAGAAAGAAAGAAAGAAAAAGAAAAAATAATAAAACGAAAAAAAATAACGATAAAGATAAAGAAAAAGGAAAGGATGACAGAACATAACTAAAATCGAAAAAACGGGTAAATAACAAAGAACTAAAAAAAGGAGAAAAAATGTGAGGAAAAAAGTGAAATAAGAACGATAAAACTAGAATGAAAATGAAAAATAAGAAAGAAAAAGGGAACCAGTGAAGTAAAGAAAAGGAACTACACAAATAAAGAGAGTGAGAAAGACAGAGAGAGACAGAGAGGAAAGAGAAAAGAGACGAGACGAGAAGAGAAGATGAAAGAGAGAGAGAGAGAGAAGAGAAGCAAAGAGAGAAAGAGCTAGAAAGAAAGAGAGAGAGAGAGGAGAGAAGAGAAGAGGGAGAGATAAAAGAGAAGAGAAAAGAAGAGAAGGGAAGAGAGAAAGAGAGAGAGAGAGACAGAGAAAGAGAGAAAGCGAGAGAGAGAGAGACAGACAGACAGACAGACAGACAGACAGAGAGAAGAGAAGGGAAGAGAGAGAGAGAGAGAAAGAGAAAGAGAGAGAGGGGGAGGGAGAGAAAAGAGAAGAGAAGAGAAAAGAAGGGAAGAGAGAAAAAAAGAGAGAGAGAGAGAGAGAGAGAGAGAGAGAGAGAGAGAGAGAGAGAGAGAGAGAGAGAGAGAGAGAGAGAGAGAGAGAGAGAGAGAGAGAGAGAGAGAAAAGAGAAGAGAAGTGAAGAGAGAGAGAGAAATATTTGAAAGAGAGAAAGAGGGAGAGATAGAGAAGAAGAAAGAAGAGAAGGGAAGAGAGGAAGAGAGATGACGCAATGACGAAATCTTCCAGGTGAGCAGGATAGCTGTCACTTGTAAAGTTTCCATGATTTCAAAAAGCAAGCGTAAGTCTTCATATAACTCTGTGTGAGTCTCCTTCATATATAGAGGAGACTGATATACTGCAAAGAAAGTAATATGGTTTCATTATCTTCGTTGCAAGAGCCGTTGCAGAGGTGCTCGGAATGGTTGTCGTATTGATGTAAAAATTTGCATTTATCATAATTTCTGCTCGGGTTTCAATCGTTGTTTTTTGTTGTTGCTGCCGTCCTGTTGTTTCTTGTTTTTGTTCTTCGAATGTATTTGTCTTTTATCTTAGACTACTCTTTCTTCTTGTTTTCGTTCTTCTGTAATTATTATCCGTGTGTCCTAATGCCTTCCTTCAAACACACGCGCACACTTATAAACACTTACATACACTTTTTTCTCTCCTCGTCCTCTTTTATCTCTCTTTCCTTTTTATCTCTCTTCTCTCTCTCTCTCTCTCTCTCTGTCTCTCTCTCTCTCTCTCTCTCTCTCTCTCTCTCTCTCTCTCTCTCTCTCTCTCTCTCTCTCTCTCTCTCTCTCTCTCTCTCTTTCTCTTTTCTTCATCTTTTTTCACTCTCTCTCTTCCTGTCTCATTTCTCCTCCTGTCTCTCCCCCTCTCCCTCTCTCTCACATATACACACACAGATATACACGCAAACAGATACACACAATCTCCTCCTCTCTGGCGCACACAGACGCACATAAACACACAAATACACTCATACACCTTATATTGGCAGCGACCCGGTAATGAGAGAGAAGTCAAGGTAAGTTTAGTTCGCAGATTGAAAGAGTTATTACATGGTCGTGTTCTGGGTCCGGCCAGCTGTTCTTTGAACTTTGACTTCTGGCTATACAATTAAACAGAACCGCTGGATAAAATGGGGGGGAGAGTGTGGGGGGTGGGGGGGAGTGAGGGGGGAGAGGAGAGTTCGTGAGGGTGAAATGGAGGAAGAGGCGAGTGGAGAGGGAAAGGGAAGAGAGAGAGAGAGAGAGAGAGAGAAAGAGAGAGAGAGAGAGAGAGAGGATGAAGACTAGAGGAAATAGGAGAGGGAAGGGGAGATGGAGAGGGGAAGTAGACCGAGGGAGAGAGGGGAGAGGAGGAAAGGAGCGATAAAAGCAGGGTGAGCGGTCAAAGGGAGAGACAGCAAAGGGGAAGGAGAGACGGAGTGAGTAAAACGAAGGTGGAATATCGAGATGCGATGAGACAAAAAGTCTTTCTGTTTACACATAACCCTTCGTTCCGATTACACTGGAATTAATTTCTCACCGATATTTCCAGACAAACTGCCATCACTCATCCCAGAAAAACTGACACACAATCTACTCTCTAAAAGGAGCAAAGGCTTGTTTATACCGACTTGAGTCCTGATATTCAAGCCGGTTATCTCCCCCTCTCAGCGCAGTACATATCAGACGGGAATTAGTTCGGTAGGCAAGGGCTGCGTGAACCCCTTTGCACAATTCACCATACAAACGCGAGGGATAAATGAATAACGCATGGGCTAAGGAATATGTTAGGTATAGGTTTGAATGCGGCCACGGGCGTAACTTGGTTGTGTATATATACACACCGTATATATCTGTGTATATAAGAATGTGTGTGTATGTGGTGTGTGTGTGTGTGTGTGTGTGTGTGTGTGTGTGTGTGTGTGTGTGTGTGTGTGAGTGTGTGTGTGTGTGTGTGTGTGTGTGTGTGTGTGTGTGTGCGTGTGTGTGTGTGTGTGTGTGTGTGTGTGTGTGTGTGTGTGTGTGTGTGTGTTTGCAAACACACACACACAATATCAGTAATGAAATCAGTAATTACAATGAGAATAAATACGACTAGTGAAAGTGAGACTAATGGTACTAGTAAGGATTGTTCTTATCCGTATCAATATTTTCTGTATCGCTGTTGCTTTATTACTCTGATACTTGCCATGTCAATAACAGTCAAAGCAAAGGAATAATGGATTTTCTCTGTCTGTGCTCTGCCTTTTTTCCTCCATGTTCCATATGTCAATTATTATTCTACTCTGCTCCATTCCCTCCAGATTTATATCTCTAAACCTCTCAGTCAGTCAACTCTAAAGGATACATGTCTAAAGGTCCATCATTATTATTATAGTATTAACTGGTTGCCTCATTTCACGTCTGTCCAGGAGCCACGCCCTCTTCTGTAACTAAGAAGTTGATTGTGCGATACACACTGTCCGTTTTGATATTCATTTATTCATGCTAATGTTGTTACACTATAATGAGGATGTGTGTGAAAAAAGTTAAAGGATTTTAAAGCATTAGCATTTTATAGAAGCTATCAGAATATGAAATAAAGTGTAGGATAACATCGTGTAAGAGAGCTATTGATTCACCATCAGGGAACCAGAGGATGATGGTGATGATGACAAAAAAAAATAAAGAAACGAATCTAAGGAAAGACCGCAAGAGGCAGTAAACTATAAATGGCATAAATACACAGAAGAGATGGTATGATTATAGACTGAATGAATGTATGAATAAGTATAAGTATTAGTATGAATAATAAATAGCAACACGAATGCTTTGAATCAACCACTCGGGTTCTTAATTATGGAAAAGAGGCGTGGATTCTAGATAGACATGGAATAAGCTAACAGACCCGGGATCTTGAGCAGTGGGAGTTTAAATAGCAAAGTAACGATACACAACTACTTACAACTACTTACAGTGTTTGAACAACGAGAAATGTAATGCCCAGATTTTTTACAAACATGAAGCTTCTCAGTGTTTTCTGTAAGCTGCTTAAGACCAGTCAATACATTACGGAAACAATATCACCAAACATGCAAGCATTATATAAGATCGGCTGTTTTCTCCGGCTTTAATAGACACACTTTATCATACGACGATAACAAGCAGTAGACATTTTCTCTCAGATATGTGAAGAGATATCAAATGGGGACTGTTTTGGGGGAAGAAAAGATACCTTAAGCTTCTGTTTCTTGTTAAAAATGTGCTAGGGAATTCCCCATGTTAAAGTACATACAAAAAGTAAAATGGCCTGCAGTGTTTTACATGCTATGAAGGTCCCTGCAGACTCCACCCCTTTAAAGATCTGTTGCATAACCTTAAACCCCTTTCCTGTCCCCTTCCCCTTAGGCTTTCTCTCCTCTCTCCCCCTCTCCTTCCCTCCTCCCCTTCAGGCCATCCCCACTCCCCTCCCCTCCTCCCTTCGTCCTTCAGGTGTCACTCTTCTCCTTCTTTTTCTTCTGTTCTTTCTCCTCCTGTGCGCATCCTCTCCTTAATCCTTCTCCCCTCTCCCAGTCCCCCATCTTCTTCCCTCCCTTATTTCTTCCCTCCTCTTATTTCTTCTATCCACCAAACCTCCCTCCCTCCCTCCCTCCCTCAGTCCCTCTCCTTACTTCCCTCCTCCTAGCACCCTCCTTCCCTCCGTTCCTCCCCTATAACTCCTCCATCATTCTCTTCCTCCCTCCCTCCCTTCCTCCCTCCCTCCCTTCCTCCCTACCTCCCTCACTCCCTTCCTCAGTCCCTCTCCCTACTTCCCTCCCCCTAGCACCTTCCTTCCCTTCTTTCCTCCCCTATAACTCCCTCCCTCCCTCCTTCCTTCCCTCCTTCCCTCCCTCCCTCCCTACCTCCCTCCCTCCCTACCTCCCTCCCTCCCTTCCTCCCTACCTCCCTCACTCCCTCCCTCAGTCCCTCTCCTTACTTCCCTCCCCCTAGCACCTTCCTTCCCTTCTTTCCTCCCCTATAACTCCCTCCCTCCCTCCTTCCTTCCCTCCTTCCCTCCCTCAGTCATATTCCCTCACTTGATCTGGACTGGAGACTCTTGTACCATAGCAATAAGAGGTTCCGATGCTCTTGTGTGACTGTTCGTCGTGAT